GAAAAATGCTTAAGTGTAGTTTTTTTTTAAATTCTGCATTACCATGTGAGAACAAGACACTCAGTGAGTGCTCACTGAGGTAAATCAGAAAAACAAAAAGAAGAAAGCTTTTATAAATGCCTTTTGTTCCACCTGGGGAATGCAGGTCTGCAGGAGGTTGTCAAAACAACCTATAAGAAAGGATTTCTGGTCTGGATTAATTTTCCAGAGTCAGACCTTTTGAAGGTCTGCAAGGTAAGGATGGCATTTAAATGCATACAAGCCGGCCACCTTGGGCAGAAGAGGATGAAATTTTTCTTCTCAGCCCTCACCTTTGCAGGAAACTTCTAGAGAGATGTGTTTTTTCCTTCAGCCCTTCTCCAAAAATCCTTGGGAATGCTTACATAAAGCACTCCTGCCTGATGGTGTCTAACAGGACGCTCTACAGCTTCAGCCCAGCATCACCTAACGCTTGTCGCCATGTCCACGCACACTATGACCACGATGCAAGCATTTTACCCTCTCTGGGATCTTGTGAAGAGGAGGAGGAATTATGAGCTAGGAAACTACTGAAGAATTCATTATCATGACAGTAAAACAGACAAAGGTTAAATGTCATTCAGTCTCGATCGCAGTAATGTAAGCATCTGCTATTAATAGTATTTTAGGACACTTTTAGCAGTGCCTAAATAGCTGCTTGAAAGATGGGGGAAAATAGTATGATTTGGCTTGCAAAAATTCTCTTTCATGGTAAAAGCCTCCGAAAATCAGTTGTGCGATTGTGTATGGCAATTGCTCATATAAAAAAAAAAGGAAAGAACCTGAACTTTCTAAGCTGCAGTAGATAAGAAAAACAGCTCAATGTTAATCACAAACAAGCAATCCATTTCCAGCCACTAAAAATCAAGCCGGAAGGCAAGTGTTTTATTGACATGCTCCACTGAATTTACATGTAGAAATCGTCTTTATTTATTTATTTATTTTATTAATCCTTTTCTATTCCATTTCTTAGAGGCATTTTATTACCTGTAGAAATAAGCAATCTTGCCATCCATGAGACTGACGTTCCTTCCCTATTTATGGACAGAAAATGATGTAAGGTAGCATCAATGGAAACTTTTTCATGCTATGTTTCCCAGCTGACCTGGCTGGACGCAGCTCAGCTCCCTGGAGCTGTCGGATTTCTATGTCTAAGATCCCTGCTACAGGAAGGAGGTGCCAGTCAGGATTTTTATGAGGCAGGTCTCTGTTGAGCTGAAACTGCACTGAAATAACCCAATTACTTCATACGGGGCACAGACCAGCCGCTGGGTTACATAAATGTAGTTTGAGGCCAGATAAACCTCTGTACATCTATTTGGTCCTCTGCAGGAAGTTTGCAGCTGGTGCATGGTGTTACATTAGTACAAACACAAGATCATACTAATAAATGTAAATATGAGGATACCAATACCCGGATTTAAATTATTGATTCCTTACGGTTTTAATTCCAGTTTGAGATAGAAGAGCTGACATCAAGTCATTGCACTTCTGTTATCAGAGGATATAAACTGCAATCTGCTTGTGTAGAAACAGTAAGACAATTGAGAACCAGGACAATGCTAAGCCACATAATGTCTTAAAACACAACCTTACACTAATTAGATGGATACATTAAGTACAATGACTATAAAGTGTGCAGCCTGGATATGTGGGAAGCACCTAGCTGTGCTGCTGCAGCTACACTGCTACTGGGTATCCAGCTAGTTAATCCAAGGTAGCCCTGTTATTGCTGTCCTTGCAAATTCAAGGGCAGTAGTCTGAGAGGAATGTTTGCCTCCTGAACACATTTTTGATTAAAACATTTTATAAGAATATTGATTCCCAAATAATGTGCTATAAACAGAGCTGGCAGGACACACACAAACCTGTGAATAATAATGATTTCAAAAGTCAGGTTACACGGTTGTCTTTGAAAACAAAACTGAACCAAACCCCCTGAAAATCAAAGACAATTTGCACGTAAAAAGCAAGGTTCAGCCTGGCAATGTTATCTGCCATAACCAAGACATAGGTTCAGGATGGTAATTGGGTGCCATGGATTTGCCAAGGACCCTGCACCCAAGGGCTCCATCAGAGACACTCACTGAAATTCTTCCAAAGAAAGTAATGCAGCAGCCCAGGAAAGCTTAATCACCAAGTTGCTTTTGTATTTTCTCTATTAACGATGACTCAATTAAGATATGAAGCTACAGACAGCTGGAAGAGAGCTTGTGTCACGCATGCATTACCAATGTCCTTCTCTGGTTAAGGAATAAGAGTGGTGCTGGATCTGTCCCAGGCTGGACCCTGATCGGCCACTGAACTCTGCCCTCTCACTTAGTGTTGGTCACAAGACCAGTCTTATCTGGTTGCCTTCCCCTCTAAAAATCATTAAGGCAACTAGTTAACAGTTATGTAGCACTCCAACACAGCTGTGACATGTTAGATTTGTAGATTGACCTAAATAGGATGCTTTTTATTCATGGATTGTAAAGACTTTGTAATAATAACTTATTTGTGGTTTAGGGTCACATGGTCGCTAAGTAAAATTCCCAGTGAAGGAAGATTTGATGACAGTACCAAATGCCCACTCAGGAGGATGGCATTAGAAAAACAGGAGGTGAAGACAAGTTAAAGCAAAAGCAAGAGGAATGTTGAAGACCTCAAAGCATTAGTGACTTCTGAGCCTTAATGACTTGGACACTCCTATCTGTAAATAGGACAATTGCACTTGTGTGTTCTCAGCAGCAAGGACTCGTGGTTTTGCAACCCTGAAGATACAGGGATTGCAGCTTCTATAAACTACCAGGACAGAGACAATAATAAAAGCATGGTAGGAGCGAAGACTCCTTTCAAGTTGGGACACCTTTGAAGTACCTTGCAAAGCAGCTGCACAGGCTCTTCCCATGTAGCAAGTGTCCTTCTTGCTACAGAAAATGAGTAGACCAGCCCAGAAGAGAGAAGGGAACGCAATAAGATTGGCTTATGTGTACATAGCTGCTCATAAGAAACTAGAATGAGATTTCATTACACATTCCTATTTAAATAACTTTGCATGTAATTATTTAAATAATTATGCATCTGATATAAATATCCTATTTAAATAATAACAGTTTTTACTTACTGTGGAACTTAGATGAATGTAAACTAGTGACATTAGGCTAAAATATTCAGCATTCTCCTTGCACATTTCCTAGCCTTTCTGGACTGTATAAAATCTGTTCTTCAGGCAAACTCAGAGTTGATTAGGGATTATCCTGGCAAATAAGATAAAGAGACTTCCATCTCTAATTATCCACTTCAGATCAGATGTTTGGGCCTTGTCTTTCACAGATCTCTACTTTTAGCTGTGGGTCATGAACTACAACATGAATATGAACAAGTATCAGTGGTCAAAATATATATGGCAAGTGGATAAAAATAATCATTCTTGTGTCTGTAAATCTCTTTGGGTGCCCTGTTCCTGGCTTGCATCATAGCCCAGCTCTAACCTACATTTGTTCATCTTGTAAAGAAATCACCACCTCATTTAGAGCTAGTGTCATTCTTCCTTCAAGGTGGGCTGAAAACAGAATGATGGTGAAGCATATTAGCAGCAACTGCATCAAATACTTTGCTTGCTTTCACTTTGTATTTTCCTGACTCATGACATTTAATTCCATGACCATTAAATCAGTGCATTTCATTATCCAATTAATTAATACCACTACTGTTTTCTAAGATCAGCAAGATACACCATAATGAATAATAGCCCCTCTGCCTTCTTGCTTCTGAAGTGCTTTTAATAAAAGTTTTATATTGTGTTTACATTGCTTCCCTGGACTCTATAGAGACAGCTGTACTTGGACATGACTTAACTCACTGGAAATCTGCATCTCACTCAGTCACAGCCATGGTCCAGCTGGACTAGTATAGAGTTCTTCCAACATGGACATGAGCCATATCAAGAAACAAGACATATTCTGTAAATACTTTGCTAGTATTGGAGTCCAGCTGGAAACATGGGCCATGGCAATAGGATAGGACGAATGTATTGGCCCAGGGCCCCAGTCAGCTGAGTTTGGCTCCTTCTGCTTCCTGAAGAGATCCCAGGGAGCTAGGGCAGCAGCATTACCTTTCAAACTCCAGCGTGGACATCATCTCACAGTACCAAGACTGAAAGCACTTTCAGTTTGAAAGTGCTTGCATTTGCACCACCCAGAGAATCTTCCAAGGAAGGAAAGAATTACTACACGAGCAAGTTAATGTTAATTAGTTTAGCTTTCATCTAGACAGCACAGCTAACAAGAACAGAGAAGCAGAGGTCTCAGCATAGCACAGCTATGATGTTACACGGCCAACACCCCAAAAGAGTGTACTCTGACTAATAGCCTGTGCTGCTGTATCTTCCAAGCTCAGAATAAAGTTTCTGAGACAATGACCACGTTTACTTCTATGGAGACCTACAGTTAGATTTGGGAACGGAAGTGCACTGCCAAATTTCAGGGTGAGTTCCCCTTGCCACACCATTTCTGTGCCTATGGTCTTTGCTGATGTGTTAACCTATGGCTCTTGCCATCTGATGCCCTTCAGCGGGAACCAGGTCACCAGAAGAGGACATGTCTCCAGCAAAATCTCTTTATAAAATGAATAAGATAGAGGACAATCAGTGAGCTGAGTATCTGCTTCCTACTCTGGGGCTTGAGGGATCTGGAAGGATCTGCCACTGATATTTTTCCAGTGGCAGTGAGAACAGAGCTAATCCTGCATTTTCTTAGCAGAGAGAGGTCTTCAGCCTACTTGTCCAGTTAATAGAAGGAGCATACTCAAGAAAATAAGTTTTACATTCTCACATTTGTTATTGTACCTCGAATATATAATATGATGACACTTAGTTTTTGTACTTTTGTAGGAACTGAATGAATTATTTCGCTCATCGTCTGCCACATAGTGAAAGTGAACATAGAAGTTTTTATAAACTGCTTTATGAGTGTCCTAAACCTGATTCAATATTCAGTACATTTCGTAAAATTTGTTTTAAAGATGTGGAAGAAGGAGTAGATAATTTAAGACTAGTAGCAACATAATCTATGAGAGTTGAGTTTGCATAGCAGTGAAATCTATGTCAACTATTGGTATGTTAGAAGGAAAAATTGAAGGTTAACCATAACAACTAAACCTCTTGAACCAAGTTCCTCACACCAAAAGGCGGTATCAGACTAAATATAGTATGTGCGGGACATATTGGAAGATTCATGCATTAAAAAGATCACAATTTGCAACATCTAGATTTAACTGACTTGTGGGACACCTACCTAGTCTAGACAGAGCACCAAATCTCTGTCTACAAAATATTTCCAGTGAATGTTGCAACCATCAGGTTTTTATCCTAAGAAAGTGTTTCCAGCTAACTTGCTTAAAATACTCAGTCTTGCTGGTCTTTGGCA